GAATAATAACAAATAATTATTTTGTCTTTTGTGTTAGATTTTCTTTCAACATTTTCTACCCCATGGAAAGAAGCAGAAAATGCTACATAAAACAAGCCGCATCGTTAAATCATATAGTGAATTGCTCATCAAACCTCGAGCACTGAGAAAGAAACGTCACAGCAGAAGTTTCAGGAAGCGAATATATCAATTTATGAGGGTGTGCAGCGATCGTAATTGTATGGGTTCTTAAACAATATGCCGAGTTATTCGCTATTCTGCATCGACGATTTCTGGAAAAGCGCCTATCAGCACAGAGCACAGAAGTCAAAGGGCGAAAGCCGTGAAGAGATTATTACCGAGCTCAGCATTCCGAAGCGCCCTCGCGATCTCGAGCCAAGTGCTTGCGGCCATTATGTCTAGGGATTGTTTTCGTTTGACGAAAAACAACGAGGATGTTTGTATCACGTGTATGTTCTCGCAAACTATAAGATCGGTCGGATATCTCGTATACGTATCGAGAAATCCCATAATAATACCATCATCTGGAAAACGAGACCAACAAAGCATACTTCTACCCTAATACCTGTAACTTGACTGAATAATAAAAATCTCATATCTTCTTCCAACAGCTTGAAGTCGTATAAATAAAGCGCGTGAAAAATAAATAATATCATGTAAAATAGCAACATATATAAAATTGCTATTTTATAGTATGAAAAAAAAAAATGGAAAAAAATGTAAATAGAACTTGTTAATTATTGTATCTTTAGGCGTTAGAGCTTTGTTTTGTGAGTGAAATCGATAAAGGTCGCGCCGCCTAATCTAGAGATGAGAGGATGCGCCAATTATGGACTTCTTCCAAATTCAAGCTTCAAATCACGGCCCGATCCGAGCTAAAAAGGACACGGGAGCGAAAGAGCGTGCTGTTAATGCCATTACGGGCGAGCTTGTGTATACAGCTTGTTGTCGGTTGGTAAATTACTATAATTGTGAAGTTCCGGCGATTTTTAGATTAGCTCTGGTCCATCAACGGTATATACCTATACCGACCTGCCGACACTGCTCAGTGATTCTCAACAGACTCACATATAATAAATCGTATTATGTACAAAAATTGCGTCTAGTTGATAAGTGCAGTCCCGAATCTCACATTGTGTTCGTGTAAACTTTTTATTTCGCAAAATTCGATAAATACGTAAAAAAATTTATTCCTTATAATAAAAACTTGATATTAATTATAAAAATATAATTTTGTCCTCATTCAAGACCAAATCCAAAGAACAAATATAAAACACGTTAGTCTTTAAAAGGGACTTGTAAAAAAACCGATAAAAAAAAAGATATCTTCGAAAGAAAACACGGATCTTCGATTAAAACCGCGCGAAGGCCTCGTTATACGACGCGACGTGCAAACGGGTCTCTCCCGATTAATTAATATAGCTGATTAAGTCGAATTAAAAACATACCGCTCAACCTGGCAATTAACCCAAATTAATGGCGCCAATAATGTGCGACCGTCTTCATGTAATAACATCACGCTTGGCGAGAAACCATACAATTATTTTTAGTCTCTCGAATGCGATGGTGAAATCTCACCGAACGATTGCTACGAATTAATTACATATGTATATATTAAAAATATAATTTTTTTTCTTTATTTACACAAGAGTATGT